GATTAGATATGAACACTTACTAGAAGCTGAGAGGATTTTGTAAAGTTTAGATAGCTAATACATAGTAGGTACCTTTAAATTTTCAGACAAGGCCTTAATAAAACTGAGATGTTGTAATGGTATGATTGATTACTATTTGACTCTCCGTGGAGGGTATAGCCTTGGATGTAAAAGAAATTATAGTTTCACTCCTAAGAACTTCCATGCAATATTTATGTCATACAACTGCTTTTTTGTTGGCTGCATTATCAGCTGTTAAGAACCCAAAACGGTTTCTAATTGTAGAAATGAACATGTTATTGACCCTTTTATTAATTTCTTAATTATTTTCTAAATTTGATATACCGTACAAATATTCATACATTTATTGATATAAGAATCAAGTGATTTTCATCAGATTTCTCTAATTTGCACCAATATTTACAATAGAAAAAAAAAAAACCTTTACCTGACATAGTTACCCGTCTTCACTTTTTCCAATTTGTTTTTTATGGTGGACTACAAAGTATATATTGGTCCTTTTTAAGAAACTTTATATCATCTCAGTCTTGAAGTTGTAGTCCACTGCAATAACATGGCCATAGGGACAATATGGAAAGTCTCAATCTCATTTTGGATAAGAATTATTTGCTATACAGACATCTAAATACCTGATGTATAATAAACAAAACAAAAAATAAATAGTGTGTATGTGTATAGGTTGTTTGCAAGAATATATGAAAGTGTTCATTTCACAGAGAAAAAAAAGAAAATTTGACTTGCATATCAATATTTTTATCAAGTTATATTTTAAAAAATTGAAACTTATTAAGTATATATTTTGGGAAGTATCAACAAAAAACTTTGTTATTTTGCATGACCTCTGAACAAAATTTCCTGTTTCCTGTTTTCTGACTCATAATATAAATTTTTGGAAAAAAAATATTGCAGTTTTCTTAAATCATGTCTGTGATGTTTCAAATAGTTACATTCTATAAAGAGACATAACTCAAGAACAGTATAAGTGAAACTACCCAACTTCGAACTTGATCTGAGTTTTGTGGTAATAAGCATTATGTATAAGTTTCATAATATTTGGTTGAGGAAAACTTAAGTTAGAGAACGGAAACGAAAAATTCAGCAACTTTACCATTTGTAAAGTGGCATAACTCAAGAATGGTAAAAGTGACACCACCAAAATCCAAACTTGATCTGTGTTTTGTGGTAATAAGCATTGTGTATAAGTTTCATAGCATTTGGTTTAGGCAAACTAAAGTTAGAAAATGGAAACCAATTTGGGACGTACAGACGTACAGACGGACAAGGGTAAAACTTAATGCCCCCTCCACTACGATGGGGGCAAAAAAAAAGATGTTGCTTCTAATATGACAGAATTATTGAAAATAAATGGGGAATGTGTCCATGGGACAAAGATGATGCCCCCGCTTGCATATCATATAAAGGGACATAACTGAAGAACGGTAAAAGTGACACTACCCATGCATTCGTATATACAATATGAAGCAGGCAGATTTTTTACCATCTGAAATATAATGATGGAAACAAATAGTTACTCCGCCGTCAGATTGTAATCCATATGTCTTGCAGCAAAAAATCAGCATTTTAGACTAAAATTCCTTAAGGGTCATCGAATTTTAAGTCTGGACAACTTGGGGAAAAAATTACTCAAACAATTCCACAACAACAGGTGTATAGTTTGATGATGATGATGATAACTGGCTGTTTAACGACCAGTGGCAAATTAAATGAATATTCAGGACGAAAACATGTTAATGTGATATGAATATTATCCCTGCATTGTACTAGGCTCGCATGCTGAGCCGGATGATTAACATGCTAGTTCACAAGATAACAGTCCCCAGGAAGACAGGTTACCTTTCCCGTACACATTATTCTGACTCCGAGCCAACCAGTCTATGCTCTTACTCCTTAAAATGCTTAATGCAGCGTGTTTAGCGGAGAAGCAGCAAATACCAATTTTAGTCTTCCGTTTTACCTGGCAAGGGTTCAAACCAACGACCTCCTGTAAAAACGCTATCACAAGACCACTGAGGCAGTTGGTATAATTTGAATATGTGTTAATTTTCTGTGAAGTTTTAGATGAATAAGCTTTCTGAGAAGTTAATCGATGAGGATTAAAAACTGTAGGAGAAGTTTATTACACAAAATTGGTACTGTCTTATGTATATTTAGCTTAAATATAAGTTCCAAAGTATGGTAGAATATGAAAATATTCTTCAATCAATTCCTTAATAGCAATTGCACCAGTTCAATATGTGAGCAATTTTTCTTTTAGGTTTCAGGGAACTGGAATGAAAACTGTAGGAGGATTTGATTACACAAAATAGGTATCCACTGTTCCTATCATCATGATGTTTATATAACCAAGGTTTGAACGAAAAGCAATCTTTAAATTATCATATACAGAATAAAATGCTCTGCAGGGCGCAGCTTGATACGACCGCAGAGGTCGAACCCTGAACAGTTGGGGCAAGTATGGACACAACATTCAAGCTTGATACAGCTTTGCATTTGGATTGTGATTAAATATTTGACACAGCATAGGTTTCTGACACAGAATGAATGTGGTCTAAGAACTTAAAAATTTTAAATTGGACATTCACCTATTATGGTCCAATATCCAAAATCTAAATACATGGTTAGATTCAGCATATCAAAGAACCCCAAGAATTCAATTTTTGATGAAATCAAACAAAGTTTAATTTTGGACCCTTTTGACCTCAATGTGGACAAAGTTGATAACGGGGCCCAAAAATCAAAACTCTAAATACATGGTTAGATTCAGCATATCAAAGAACCCCTATATATTCAATTTTTGTTGAATCAAACAAAGTTTAATTTTGAACCCCGATTTGGACCAAATTGACCCATAATCAAAAATCTAAATACATGTTTAGATTCAGCATATCAAAGAACCCTAAGAATTCAGTTTTTGTTAAAATCAAACTAAGTTTAATTTTGGACCCTTTGGACCTTAATGTAGACCAATTTGAAAACGGAACCAAAAATTAAGAATCTAAATACACGGTTAGATTCGGCATATCAAAGAACCCCAATAATTCAATTTTTGATGAAATCAAACAAAGTTTAATTTTGGACCCTTTGGACCTCAATGTGGACCAATTTAAAAACGGGGCCCAAAATCCAAAAACTTAATACACGGTTAGATTCAGCATATTAAAGAACCCCAAGAATTCAAGAATAAAACCCCATTGAAATTGGTCAAGAAATAAGCAATTTATACGAAGTATCTTCTTTTGCACAATACTGTGCAATTAAATATTTCTTCCTATTGCGCAATACTGTACAATTGACAATTTCTTGCTATTGCGCAATATTGTGCTATTGGATATTTCTTGCTATTGCGCAATACTGTGCAATTGAAGATTTCTTGCTATTGCGCAATTGAAGATTTCTTGCTATTGTGCAATACTGTGCAATTGAAAATTTCTTGCTATTGCACAATACTTATTATATAATAATTTACACATCCTGTTTGGTGTGTATCTCCTACCATATCATTATTATTTGCTTTTAAATATAAATCAGAAATAACCAACTTAAAATGGAAAATTTTAAAAGAAAAAAAAGGAAAAAAAGAAAAAAAAGGAAAAAAAAAAAAAATCCCCCCCCCCAAATTTTTTGAACCCCCTTATGATTCATCACCCCCAAACTCAATCCCAGCCTTCCCTTTGTGGTATGGTGCCTTGCAGTACAATTTCAGAGAGATCCATACACTTGAACACAAGTTATTGTCTGGAAACTAGAAAAATGTGTTTTTTGGCCCCTAATTCCTAAACGTTTGAGGCAATTACCCCCAAACTCAAACCCAGCTTTCCCTTTGTGATATGGAACCTTGTAGTACAATTTCAGAAAGATCCATACACTTACACACAAGTTATTGTCCTTAAACTAGAAAAATGCTTGTTTTTTGCCCCTTTTTGGCCCCTAATTCCTATAATATTGAGGCAATTACCCCCATCATCAATCCCAGCCTTCCCTTTGTGGTATGGTACCTTGCAGTACAATTTCAGAGAGATCCATACACTTGAACACAAGTTATTGTCTGGAAACTAGAAAAATGCTTATTTTTGGCCCCTTTTTTGGCCCCCAATTCCTAAACATTTCGGCAATTACCCCCAAACTCAATTCCAGCTTTCCCTTTGTGATATGGAACCTTGTAGTACAATTTCAGAAACATCCATACACTTACACACAGGTTATTGTCATGAAACTAGAAAAATGCTTGTTTTTTGCCCCTTTTTTTGCCCCTAATTCCTAAAATTTTGAGGCAATTACCCCCAAAATCAATCCCAGCATTCCTTTTGTGATATGGAACCTTGTCGTACAATGTCAGAGATATCCATACACTAACACACAAGTTATGTCTGGAAGTTACAAAAATGCTTATTTTTGGCCCCTAATTCCTTTACTGTTGGTACCATAACCCCCAAAATCAATCCCAACCTTCCTGTTGTGGTATTGAACCTTGTGGTAAAATTTCATAGAGATCCATTCACTTAAACTAAAGTTAGAGTGCGAAAACCAATGTGTCTTCGGACGACGCCGACGTCGACGCCAACGTCATACCAATATACGACCACAAAAATTTGTTTGCGGTCGTATAAAAATTAAAATAACCCTACTCAGTACAATGTAGAGGTTGATACATTTTATTTTTTTAAGACTGTTTGTTGTCCTTTTGATGTCTTAACTATGTGTTGTTAGGTCTCGGTCTCATTGACATATACCCCACATTTCTATCTATTCAGACTAATAATTAAAAAAAAAGAATTTGAAACCTCTTTAGATAGAAATTAAGCATTTTTGTGTGTGTGTGTAAAGAATCTTCAAATTAATATGTCAAGTAATGACAATTAGATGAAAATGTTTTAGAAAATATTCTACCAGGGTTTGTCAAACTGTAAGTACAACAATAATATAGCAAATGGCCATCATATTCACAAGTGATTGACAACTTTGATTAAACTTATTTTAATATTAACAAAAGATTATTTTCTTTGTTTGTAAATTAAGAAATATACAATGTCATTAATTTAAACATGATGAGATACAAAACACATGAAAAACAGTTTGAATGAACAACAAAATTCTTTCTGTCATAATAATAAAACAACACAAATGATACAAAGAAAAAATTTACATGTCATTTGTAAATTATAGAGGATTTAACATGAACATATGTAGTATCATTAGTATGATGCTGTTCTAGACAATATATCACAAATAAACGCAAAAGATAGAATGTCTAAATATCATGTTACAAACACAATTAAATGTAATCACATGATGATCAGGCTACACATTCCAGGGACAAACTGAAATATCAGACAAGTAATTACAACTCTCAAATTTAAGTGACTAAGTCACCAAACAACTGCATAGTTCAAAAATAAACACTTAACGAGGGTAAGTGCACAGAACAACAAGAAATAAAAGCTAGATGCAAATTTGGGCAGAACAAGTGCATTTTTATCCATTGGCAAAAAAAACGACTCATACCTCCTTTCACTACACAAGCTCAAGAAAAAGGGATTTTATTGTAAAAGGTGACTATACAAACAAATTTATAAATAATTAGCATATAATCAATTATACTTACATAAAATAAAACTTTGAATATTGCTTGAATTTTCATCAAACTACAGATTTAATTTTTTGTCTTTGCTGTCATTTTAGCACAAAAATATGATTTTTTAAAACTAAATAGTCGTTTTAATAGTTCCACGAATAAAAGTACGACATAATGGACACCTACGAATTTTTGGAGAACAAGTTTTGCACGTAACAAGGTGCCCACACGGTACAAATGTTATGCCTACTCTCTCATCTAAACATATTTTACATGTATACAATTCCTTCAATTCCTCATTTTCCTTTTGAATTTTTTCAGGGTTCTCTTCTGAAAAATAAAAATAAAACCTGCCAAATCTGCATAGAAATATAAATTTAGCTTTCAAATGTTTTGTGCTGCAAATGCCCAACTTCTAAATACTTGGGCCTACAGTAGCCTGATTAAGTAATAAAGATCAAAGTACAAGGGGATGTCAATCAGGCTATGGAAAACAAACTATTTAAATTTCACTCTAATTTATTTTACTGTATCTGCAATTATCTGTATTGATATTATGAATGTACCATGTTTAATTTGCACAGATCTAAAAATTATTTTCTATAAGCATGATGTTTGTTATATACAAGTTATTAACTTTAAATTTATGTATATATATATAAAGAATTTGTACTTTCTTCGTGTGTACCTATTTTTCTAAATTGATAAATTCACAGTTATAAAATTTGGCTGTATATCCAAAATATTAATGCATAGATAACAGTCTGTTTTGCATGAAGTGAATTTGAGTTCCTATTTTAATTGTCATGAAGTCTTAATCACTTTTACAAAATTAAAATGGTGGATAACCTCTCAGCCCTTATTATAAGGCAAAATGTATGCACCTTATTAGACTTTGAGATGAAGAACAGAAATAAAAGAGCTGTCTCTTAGGATTAAGCTTTAGCAAATGCATGTACAGACTTTGTGTCATGGATTAATACACCATATATATATATATCTCCTCTTTTTGATTTTAATACATCTTTGACTATCTGAAACACAAAATCTGCAGACTATCATGAGTACCATTAAGTCTTACCTAGAATGAATTAATCAAGGAAATCTTAAATTAGATATTGAAACAGTTTTCATCAATAATAGCCTTGTTATTGCCATTATCTTCAATAATATAAAAGACATGTTGTAGAAAAACTTATTTAGTCTGCCAGTAATGCAACTTACCTGTTGACTTCTTGCTATCTTCCTCTTTGTTTTTATCTTCTGTTCCTGTACTTTGAGTATTTGAAGTTTTAGACCCTGATGAATTTGATACTGCAGATTCGGATAAATTTACTGAATTTGTGTTTGTGTCTAAGTTTTCCATAACATCTTTACTCTCGAACAGTGCATTGACCAACATGTCATTTGTTACATCATCCCATTCTACAGAAAAAAGTTATATTGGTCTGGTGAAAAACAATTCATTGGAAATTTTTCAGATTTTAAGTTAATAATTATGCTTATCTAAAACTTCTGTAAGTTTTCTTTCTTATTACTGTACTTACTTTTAGTTCAAGTAACACAGTATGTTTAGAAAATCATTTATGTATGCATTTATAATGAAATGTATGTGGTCATGGCTCAGTTTTCAATTTCTAAATGGTATTCTAAATTTTTGTTGACTAGGGTTTGTATGATTTTTTTTTATTGTTTTAATTAATAAGAGAATGATGATGGGTTTTTTTATTGTCTGGTTTCAGTATGGCTTACTTTGCTTGATACAAATTGGAAAATCATCTACTTACATCTAATCATCTGCCAACTTTAATAAATCATGCAATTTGCAGTACCAAAATCAATGTCCAGTAGCAAAAGTAACAGGTTAAGGTAACACACGTGCAATTCAAACAGAATTGCAATTTCAGTTGTGAAGTCAACAACTGTTTGCACAACTTTTATTTCAAATATCAATTTTATTGGTATCTCTATAAATACCAATACTTTTCTTATCAAGATTTCTATTTTGGAAAGGGGTTTTCTGGAAAGGGCAGCATGGTGAAAGACCAGGACTTGATAACAGGGGACAGAGGGAGATGGATGTCAAGAGGACTTGTGGGAGGGATGAGTGTTAACTTTGAAATGTCAATACTTACCATGAAGCTGCAACAATTGATTCATAGTCTTTTTCACTTGTTTTTCTTTGTTGTCACCAAATATATTCTCTCTAATGATATACTGTGCTGCTGGGTGACAAATAGGGTCTCTCACATCATTTGAAGATGCTGAAATACAAAATATCTTTTAAATTCTACCATTCTGAGGAAATATAATAAAGATTGCCACAAGATTCTGGAAAAGGCAGAGGACATTGAATTAAAAGGGTAAAAGGGTAAACCAACAAAGGATTTTAAGACATACAGGATGAAAGGGCATATGGGGCCTGCAAAAAGCAGAATTATTATCCTGCTTTCTAATATTATCAGGGGAATCACTATACGACTTAAATTCCTTTGTCTGTAAATAAAGTGATAAATAATACTTTTCAAAGATTTCTTTTTGCTTTTGCTTTACAATATTTGTATATCTATTTTATAATCTACATACCTACATACCCATGACTAAAATAGCAACAAAAATTCTTCTGAAGATGGCATTATCAATATTTTTGTAACAACTCAAAAATAGTAACTCTCGAGTTCTCGAAATCTTTTTTTCCCTGGTGGCCCTTGAAGAAAATCTGTTGTTGTAATATACTGAAAGAATGACCTTACTAAATTAAATTCACTTGATCTAGCTTTGGCAAAATATTATAATGTAAGGGCAGAGGTTTTAACAAATCAACACAGTCCAAAGGTATTTTCAATGTTACAGAGGACATTACTCAGACATTCCTCCTGCTGGAATTGAGAGAATATACACAGTAATAATTACCTGTCCCATATCCAGAAGATACTTGTGATGTCTGTTCTGTTCCTGCATTAGCTGTTTGCATTTCAATTTCTGAATCCTGTGAAAAAGATTACACATAAATTTCTGATAACAAAGATTTGAAAACATACAATAACAGTTTTATGCAAAACATCTTGATAATTTGTAATGTAGCTTTTTTCAAAGCACATTGTGTTCTGTGTCGATAAGATAATAATAGGATGGAATAATTTCTTAGTTTCATACTGGTTCATGTCATATTACCTTTGAACATTAGCTTAACACTTGCCATAATAAAAAACCCACAAGACTTAATAACTCTAAAACAACTGAATTTGAAAGCATTACATGTCCCTTCAATGGACATTTTGTAGTTTGAAGTACATGTTGTTACAACACATCCATACAGCTACATTAAACTTAAGTCCTTATCTACTTCAAGTGGTTGATTCATCTACAGAATATAAGACAACAAAAATATAACACCCATCATGCCCATGCATCCCCATTTTACAGTTAGTCAGGGGTATAATATATACAAGTCATGTTTCTTTACTTGAAGATTTTACAGTCAGTCAGGGGTATAATATATACAAGTCATGTTTCTTTACTTGAAGATTTAAGTGATACTTACTTGTATACCTAAATTTGTATGATTTTAATTTTTTGTTCAAGGTTTGAATAATCTCCCCTTCATCTTCACCAAAAATTTACTTATACAAGTTATTTTTTATATTCTTAAGTTTTATAAGCAAAATTCTGGTTTGCTTATATATTTTTAATATTGAAGGGTTTAACCCTTTATCTCAAGAAAATAACAAAGTAATATACTGTGCACAGATGTTAAGTGAATGTGCAAGGCCTTGACTCAAGAAAATAACAAAGTAATATACTGTGCACAGATGTTAAGTGAATGTGCAAGGCCTTGACAAAATGCTTTCAGGGGGCTTGTATAATGACAGACAAATTAGATTTTTATTGTCCATTGTCCATGAAATTACACTTTAATGAAAAGTAAAGAAAACTTTATATGACAGACAATTCTAAACAATCTGATATACAGTCAAGGGTCTAACTTAAATAAGTTATTAGAGAAAAATAACATACATTTGTTATTGAGGGCTAAAAAATCAAAAATCTGTGATAACATATGTATGTTACATGTTTCAAAGGGACATTATACATCCTTTATTTTGTTAAATTGTGTACTAGTTCTATTGATATTAAAATTGTCTTTATGTATATTAAACTTTAGAAAGATATAACAGCCCATAGTTTGCCATTCATGCATAACACACACGTTATTACAGAAAAAATATGCCTGTAATAACTAAAGGGTGTTATTACAGCTTCTCTACATCTCTTCAAAGCCTTTTCTCCTCCATATATCACAATGTATTTTAATTTATTGTAATAAATAATGATAAGAGCATGTAATGAGGTTCTGCGCAAGCTTCCTAGTCATTCCCAAGTGTCTCATGTAATAAGTTAAATGCCTGTAATAACTAAGCCTTGTTATTACAGCTAAGTTATCACTTAAAAGCCTTGTCTCATTGATTTACCATGGTTAATCAAAAATGTATTAATTGAATTGGAAAATTAGTTTTCAAGGTTATGTATTAAGTTACTGCGCAAGTTTCAAGAATTCCCAAGTGCCCACTGAAAATAAATTTTTTTATGGTACATTTAACTGATAACAAACATATGTTACTACAGATTACGAGAAAGTATCTGTAATAACACATGTATGTTATTTTTCTCTAATAACTTATTCAAGTTACACCCTTGACTGATATAGAAATGTAGTCAAGAGAAATTAAAGAAAAGAAGAAAACATGACTTTTAACTTATAAAAATTCAAAAAATAATCTTAATGTCTAAGGGATATAACTCTACCTCCAAAATAATTTACCTGTATGCAAATATTTAAAAAAAAACATGTGTACGAGTATTACCCTTGACTGAGTGATTAAAAAAAATTCTGTTGATTAAGTCTTATGAACTTCCTATCTCTATAGTTTGTCATGAAGTCAGTAGAATATCTTGTGTAAATCTAATATAAAATACATGTATGTTGTATTTTATTTTATTCATTTTCATTGAAACAACATTTTTCTATACTAAATTGTCATGTATAGATCATGCATCAAATACATACCGTCTGAATTCCAAGTACAGTAAGGACACTATCAATAAATTCTTGTCCTTTCTTCTGTAGTAAGTATGGACATTTACTTGACCAACGAGCATGCTCTACCCATGGATTGTCATCAGATTCCCAATTACGAAGACCTAAGAAAAGAATATTGTTTTATTTGCAGCAGGTCATGTCAATTCAGATACAAAATATATCCTACAAATTAGTTAAATATCATTATTGATAAAAAGTTTTTGTATGCTAATGTACCTATATTAAACAGTAAACAACATTTTATTGTAAAATCTGTGTACTGTATAAACTAACTTTTTATATTTGAAAAGATATATTGTTTGAGGATATATGATACTTGAAATTTTCCTTAGTTTTTATACAGATAACTCTCCTATTCATCTTGAGCTTGCTTTAACCTTTCAAAAAAATAAATCTGAATAAAAACTGCAGCTCCATAAAGGTTCAATTAAATCAGGTTTTACTAAGTATTATTTTCAAAAGTACAAGTTTTCTATAAGTTAAATAAGAAATAAACTTACCAATACCACAGTGAAAACATCGGACACAGTCACCGAAATCTATAAGTAAAAAAGTGCAAACATCAATAAACTACTAATGGTACAAGTATTACAAACACTAAGTTTAATAGGTATCATTTCTTAGCTATAAGCAGTTCTGTCTGCATTTTGTTTTGGGTATCTTTATCTTATTCCCTCACCATATTCTGCAAAGACCTTGATTCCAAAATATTGGGCTGCTAATTTCTTTCTTTTATCTTTTTGTTTAGGGTGCATTCAGTTGTGGTGGTTTTACCCTTTAATCTTAGTACTTGTACCACTGACTAATTTATTTTTTTGTATTTATAAAAAAGAAGATGTGGTATGATCGCCAATGAGACAATGATTTTTCTTACCATTTTGCTAAAAATTTTGGGGGGGTTTTATGAAGTACCATACTATATGAATAAGAATTAAATATTTTATAGTATCAAGTCTTCTTTAACAATAAGGAAGCTTCTCACTATACTGAAATTCCATAGTACATGCAGATTACTTCATTTCTCTCTTAATTGTTTAAACAGCTGAATTTTTTTTCAAAGCTATACTCTTTTTTAAAATAAGTTCTTAATTGTGGCAGTCATTTCCTTTAAAAGAAGTAAATTGAATCTCGTAACATAAGACTTGCAAGGTCTTGCAAAGAAACTATTCTTTGATGATTTATTTAAGTTTTAAAATAATGAATTTAATATGGAAATACTAATCAAATAGATATGTTCATACTTGAATAAAAAAATCCACATTCTGACAGATCAAGTGGGTGAAGAAAGTCCAAGTTTGGTGGCCAGTTCTTGTATGTGGCTCTTCTCCTCTCTATAGGAATATATTCTGGGTATTTTTCCTTTGGTGTGTTCTTCCTGTTGTTTTGTGGAACTGGGCTGTCTCTGGATGCAGGTCCTGAAACTCTCTGTATGCTGTGTTCAGGTCCTTCTATTAATGGTGGAAGCTGTGGTACTGTCAGATTTGAAGTATTACTTGAAGATGATGATTGGTTTGATGAAAGACTACCACTACTACCAAATCCACTATCTGTGCTAGCATGACTACTTTGTCGACTACCACTACTACCAAATCCACTACCTGTGCTAGCATGACTACTTCGTTGACTTATACTAGATGAAGAAGTTGAATTACTAGTTACAAGGTTATTACTACTATGCGAAAGTGATGACCCAAAAAGTCCACTATCAACAGATTGGACCGCAACTGTCATCGGAGATGAAGAAATAAGAAGTGTAGGTGTCATTCCATGAGCATCTGTACAAGTACGGACTGAGTCTGCACCTGTAATATTCATAAAAATAATGTAACATTACAAGATTGAATTAAGAGTTTTGCACACTTTCATTTGAAAATGACAAAATCAAAAGTGTTAGTCATGTTCGTGTTTATGTATAAAAAAAATTGATGCATGCAATTTATTTTGCCAGTCCTAAAAACCAACATGACCAATGGAAATTCAAATTCTGCAAAGTCTGACATCATAAAAAGAATGCTTATAAATGTACATACATTTTTTGCCTCAAAAGAGGCCCATTTCCGAACATTTGATACACAGAGATATAAGCCATTATTAGGCATTACATCTTAATTTGAAATTTTAGCTAGAAATAGGGGCCTTATAACACATTGTTGTCCTAAACATTTGTTCCCACTTAATTTCCTTATTATTAGGTTAATATTTTTGTAATTTCCTCAGACTTTCCATATATCATGTATACTATTGGTTCATTACACCCTATACTTTTCAAATATTTATCTGGCAAAATAGTTTGAAATTCTAGTTATCCTTCATTTGTTTGGACTACAATTTTTTCACCCTCTAAAATTTCCAAATTTACATGCTTCAACTATCAACACATGATCAAAATTTTAATTTCATAGTGAAATTAGGGTTTTCCACAAATGCCTCTGAGGCATGGAGCTATGATCTCAATTTTTATGATTCATATTGTAATAAAATGCTCCGCTGGCCAGAACTTGATACGACCGCAGAGGTCGAACCCTGAACAGTTGGGGCAAGTATGGACACAACATTCAAGCTTGATACAGCACTGAATTTGGATTGTGATTAAATATAAGCCACAGCATAGGTTTCTGACACAGAATGAATGTGGTCTAAGAACTTAAAAAATTTTAATTTACCTATTCAAACCACATCATTATTATTTGCTTTTATATATAAATCAGTAATAACCAATTTAAAATGGAAAATTTTAAAGAAAAAAAAAGGAAAAAAAAATCCCCCCAAATTTTTTGAACCCCTTATGATTCATCACCCCCAAACTCAATCCCAGCCTTCCCTCTGTGGTATGGTACCTTGCAGTACAATTTCAGAGAGATCCATACACTTGAACACATTTGGAAACTAGAAAAATGCTTGTTTTTTGGCCCCAAATTCCTAAACATTTAGGGCAATTACACCCAAACTGAAACCCAGCTTTCCCTTCGTGATATGGAACCTTGTAGTACAATTTCATAAAAATCCATACACTTACACACAAGTTATTGTCCTGAAACTAGAAAAAGGCTTGTTTTTTGCCCCTTTTTGGTCCCTAATTTCTAAAATTTTGAGGCAATTACCCCCAAAATCAATCCCAGACTTCCCTTTGAGGTATGGTACCTTGCCGTACAATTTCAGAGATCCATACACTTGAACACAAGTTATTGTCTGGAAACTAGAAAAATGCTTATTTTTGGCCCCTTTTTCCTAAATGTTTTGGGCAATTACCCCCAAACTCAATTCCAGCTTTCCCTTTGTGATATGGAACCTTGTAGTACAATTTCAGAAAGATCCATAGACTTACACACAAGTTATTGTCATGAAACTAGAAAAATGATTGTTTTTTGCCACTTTTTTGGCCCCTAATTCCTAAAATTTTGAGGCAATTACCCCCAAAATCAATCCAAGCATTCCCTTTGTGATATGGAACCTTGTGGTACAATTTCAGAGAGATCCATACACTTGAACGCAAGTTATTGTCTGGAAACTAGAAAAATGCTTATTTTTGGCCCCTTTTTGGTCCCTTATTTCTAAACATTATGGGCAATTACCCCCAAACTCAATTCCAGCTTTCCCTTTGTGATATGAAACCTTGTAGTACAATTTCAGAAAGATCCATAGACTTACACACAAGTTATTGTCATGAAACTAGAAAAATGCTTGTTTTTTGCCCCTTTTTTAGCCCCTAATTCCTAAAATTTTGAGGCAATTACCCCCAAAATCAATCCAAGCATTCCCTTTGTGATATGGAACCTTGTGGTACAATGTTAGAGAGATCCATACACTAACACACAAGTTATGTCTTGGAGTTACAAAAATGCTTATTTTTGGCCCCTAATTCCTTAACTATTGGTACCATAACCCACAAAATCAATCCCAACCTTCCTTTTGTGGTATTGGACCTTATGGTAAAATTTCATAGAGATCTATTCACTTTAACTAAAGTTAGAGTGCGAAAACCAATGTGTCTTTGGACGACGACGACGCCAACGTCATACCAATATACGACTGCAAAATTTTTTTGCGGTCGTATAAAAACATTGTGTATTCTAAGTAATGAAAAGAGGTCTTAGATATGTTTTTCTCCAAAGATATTTTTAACAAGATATGAATGAACAAATCTAAATATACCTACCTATACCATTCACATGTGAAATCTCAGTAGTTTGCATTCTTGGGGTAGCATTTTGACGGCAGTCACCCTCTATAATGTCTATAGAGGGTCTAAATGTCTTCAAATATTCACAATATGGAGATATTTGTCTATGTACTTCCAAAGGATTAGATCGATAAGACCAATCTTCGTGTTTAACTCCACATGAAAAACAGGTAACTTCTCGTCCTTTTCCTTCATAATAAAATCCATATTTAGCAAGCTTGATCAGACTTGGGCTGTTTTCAGAGGGAAAATTGTTCAATGATCCAACTCTCAATATCTCATTAGACATTACATTTTTACTAACTGGGAATACTGTTATTTCATCATTTCTAAATATGCTGTTATGGTTAATAATATTATATAGTTCACTCTTAATACATTTAGACTTGTCTGTTTGCAATATATCAAATAAATCCATTAATTTGTCCTTTTGCATAATATTCTCTAGTTTCCCATTTCCATGAATAGATAATGATTTCTGAAACTTCTCAGAAAATTGTATACAGACATTATCTTCCCCCTTCCCACTTATTTTAAATATTTGCTTACATGTAACTAAACCAAACAATAAGCATAGGTTTGCTACAGTTTGTTTCCTTGTTCCAGTTTCTTGCTTACAATTGTTCTTTGTCATTATAGTTTTCAGCACCACTAGCATGGTTTGATTTAAGATATGACTAATTCCTAACACTATATAGCACCTTTCTGTAAAAGTTAACTGACACTCAGTCACCCTACCATCTTTGACAAGAGATATATGTTTATTTATATTTCCACTTTGAATGTCTTTAAGCAAAATATGCTTCGTGATATTTGAAACAGCATCCTCTTCAAATAAAAATAATTTTGGTTTATTTCTATGTTGTAAATGTATATTGCATGTCTCATCATAACACAAGTTCCCATGGCATCTACAGTTGTTATGCCTTGTAAATAAGTTCTTATTTACAAAACCAAATAAAACATCATCAATTTGAACACAAAACTTTTTACTAGGACATAAGAGTTTATGTGTTGAATTGTGCTGATGGTTAGAACAACACTCACTAGAATACTGTAATTCTTTGTCTTTACAAATGTGTTCATGAATAGCTTTAGCAAAGCTTTTGTATAGGTTCTCCCTAGTATTAATTTCTAAAAATTCAAGACAACTCTGGTGTCCTTTTCTTATGATATCTTTCGTCTTTTTTAATATATTATTTCTTTCAACAACTTTATGACAACTTCTTTCAACAATGTCCTGACAAATTCTTTCATCATGTTCATGACAACTTTTTATAACAAGTTCATGACACTTTCTTTCAACAGGTTCAACAAATCTTAAAAAATTCTGTTCCTTTAAATTACTGTTTGTTGTCAAGACTTCTTCAAGAGATAAATTTTGGGGAAATGTGCTCCAATTGGTCATTTCTATAGTTTGTTCATGTACAAGAAGATTTATAATCAATTGATATTTAGCATCACAACTATTGATCCATTGTAATAATCTCTGTTTTTCTTCTTTTTTATCCTGGATTTCAAGCAATATAAGTAATATTGGTAAAAATGTGTGCTTTGTCAATATGTCATAGGGTAACTCATTTATTTCTGTATCCATCATAATCTTAATAATGTCTCTTGATTTGATATATTTTGTAATGGCACTGGTACACAGATTATTGTTGTATAAAAATAACTGTAGTACAACAGATTCCAAAATATTCCATTGGTCATGTTGTTGTAGTTGAATATGTTTGTCAAGATAGGTTAAAAGCAGTAAATCTACACTTTCAATTTCAAGAATACTCCTACGCATTTCACTTGGACAAACATTCTTTATTCCTGCATCTAAAGGTATTTTCGTCTCAGATTCTATAGGGAAAGAGTTTCTGTATAACGTATATGTATCTAAAACTTTTAAAGCAACAGCCTTATACTCAGAATGTTTCATTGTTCTTAAATATTTAACTAAAAGAACGTTACTATTTCGTCTCAATTCTGACAAGTTTATCTTCTGGTTATGGTGAATACCATTTAAGGCAGCAATGCTGTTTGATAAGAAATTATCTCCAATGTTAAAGTTGCTCAGTAATTCTTTTAATCCATATATATCACAGAAAACACATTCTATATTTGATCTATGTAATATTTTACAGTGTTGCTTTAAGGTACGCATATTTGTACTGAAGTTGTCACAATCCAATATCAGACAAATTATATCAAAAAATTTGCAACATTCTGCAACTTCACAAGTCCTAAGATCTCCATTCCTGACAATTGATCTGATTGTATGGTTTTTCCAATATTCAACTGCATCTAATGTTACTTTTGATTTCTCCAATAAAATAGTAGGATTAGCAATCAAGGGTCTTAATAATTTATATCTATAAAAATAGATATTTACCAATTCTTCTAGTCTGTTAGCTGACAAAACATGCAAAAAGGTTGCACAATGTTTTTCATTTTCTTTTATAGGAAATTCATATACTTGTAAAAGTTTCAAAATGGCAGCTTTACATATTGTACTGATATAACAAGAGCAAGAAGATAAATCTTTTATAAATTCAATTACTTTAAAAAATTGAATGCTTAAAATATTTTCCCTCTGGAGTAGCTTTAGCAATATACTGCAAATAACTTCGACTGAAGGTAGATGTTGATTTCTTAGTGAGTTTATCCATTCAGCAACTGTACATGCAGTGTTTTCTAGAAAAGCTAAACATTCCTTGTTTATACCTACATCGCTTGCTATGGAACTTTCAGCAGTAGATTTTTGTATAAATTGTTTAAATGCTGCCACCTTTTTGGAACAATCAGATGGTACAGCACCAAAGTACTTTAATATAATATCTGACTTATCCATTCCTTTTTGCATATATCCAATAAATATGTAATTTTGTGAACTGAAATGTAATGCTTCTAGTGGATCTGTCTTTTCCAAGTCAATACCAACTATCAGTACAAAAGTATTGGCTCCTAATTCTGCAAACCTATCTTCGCATATTTCATGTATTAATTCTTTCAACTTTATTTCCATTTCTCTTACAGGGATAGACTTAAGGCTTTCATCCTTTGAGTTCAATTGAACTACTGAACTGCTTTTTAAATCATATAACAACAAAATTCCTAAACCTTTATCCTTGGTCATAATTTGTTTTTATGCAAATAAATAAGTGTGTCACATTATCTCAAAATGAGAAGACTACAAATTTTAAGATTTTGAGCTAATTTTTCTTCTCAATAACAAATGTGTGCTGCTTCTTTGGCCTCTTAAAAGGTATATACCATGTATACTGTCTAAAATCTATTGTCTTTCGTTAAATTATGAACTGGTGCAGTCTTCTATTACCTATTAGTTTAAATATGTTTTTTAAATATCTTATGTTGCACACTCTCCTCTGATCCTTCCCTTCTGTTAATATAGTCCTACTTCTATGGCTGTTCTTTTCTTTTTCAATTTCTTCTTGTCATTCTTTTCTTATTTAAGTTATATCTAAGTTATCCTTTTCCTATTATATCCTTTCCTTTTTCTGATCTATTTATGTAATATCCCCTTGTTAATCATAACCTACAAATGTGATTCCCTTCTTGTAATTATTTGTTAATGCTATCCTCTTCTTATTCCTGGTTATATGCTATCCTATTCTTATTCCTGGTTATATGCTATCCTCTTCTTATTCCTGGTTATATGCTATCCTATTCTTATTTCTGGTTATATGCTATTCTCTTCTTATTTCTGACCTATATGCTATCCTTTTCTTATTCCTGATCTATATGTCATCCTCTATTTATTCCTGATCTATATCCTATCTGCTTCTTACTCCTGATCTATATCCTATCCTCTTCTTATTCCTGATTCATATGCTATCTTCTTCTTATTTCTAATCAATATGCTATCCACTTCTTAATCCTGATTCATATGCTATTCTCTTCCAATTCCTGGTTATATGCTATCCTCTTCTTATTGCTGATTATATGCTATCCTCTTCTTATTCCTGATCTATATGGTATCAGCTTCTTATTCCTGGTTATTCCTGATCTATATATCCTATCCGCTTCTTATTCCTGGTTATATGCTATCCTCTTCTTATTCCTGATTCATATGCTATCCTCTTCTTATTCCTGATCTATATCCTATCTGCTTCTTATTCCTAATCTATATGCTATCCTTTTCTTATCCCTGATCTATATGCTATCCTCTTTGTATTCCTGATCGATATACTATCCTCTTCTTATCCCTGATCTGAAGAACATATGAACATGATAAAACAGTTTTAATATCAAAGTAAACTATTGACACAGAGATATGTCTCGTGTTTTGTATTTTTGATGGTATAATGGAAAGGTTGAAATTAAAATTGCAATATTTAAACATGTAAATTATGCAAATCATTCAAAGTCAAAGAACCATGACTGAAGGTCCAGGGAAATGTGAAATGCTGATGCTTATAAAACTGCATACTGAATACCACTGACTTATCATAAGTGGTTCCCTTAAACTAACCTTTACACAAACTTTAACTTGTAAACTATGTAAAAATTTCAAAGTCAATGAACCATAATGAGGGGGCAGTGTTCTCCCCAGGGCCTTTTAGCATCATGGTACTGTGATGCTATAATCTTAAATGTGATGCTATCTGAATTGGTTTTCTTATAGATTATGTTATGGATGTGATGCTATAATTTTTAGAAACAAGATGGTATTTCAATTTCCCGTTTACCAGGATGCTAAATGAAATATCTGGGGAGAACATGGGGGGGTAGGGCCATAAAATCTCCATGGAAATGAGACTTGCAAATGCCAAAATAACTGCATATTGAATATCATTGACTTAACATTAGTCGTTCATCTTAAACTGATCTAATCACAAACTTTAACATGTAAATAATGCAAAACATTCAAATTCAATGAACCATGACTGAGGGGGAGCCAAAGAATCTCCATGGAAATTACATGTGCCTATGCTTATACATCTGCATACCAAATATCATTGACCTATCAATAGTGGTTCCCCATAAACCTGACCTAATCACAAACTATTACATTGTTGATGCTGCTACCGAAGGAATCAGCATGCCTAAGTCTCGCTTTTTCTCCTTGGTTGTCACGAGACAAAAACCAGCAGCAGGAATAAATCTTGCACTCCTTATGGTACCCTTAAGATACACTGTCTGAGAAGTAATCATGGCTTAAGATATACTGTTTGAGAAGTTATCATAGCTTAGATTTTTAAAAGGTCTTTTGAATTCTCTGGTAGAACTATATGAAATAAGTTTAGGAAATACTGCAACAAATGTTAAAATTTAACACTTTCTAATCAAACTGCTTTCAGTATATATATACTGGATAATCAGGGAATTATCATACATGTATGAATGTATTTAACATTAACGGTAAAAGTTTCGTTTGAATTATCTTTTATGTTTTCTTAATTGTGTGATATAGTGACATAAGTGTGAGTAGTGTGTGAGGGGCTCATGGCAGAATAATGTTTGAACTTATCCCTACCCATTTCAAATAAAAACTATATTATTCCTGACCAACTTGTAATCTTGAAGAACATTAAATCCTGTACTTCCCATTAATGGTAGGTACATAAAAAGGCTCAATAATAGCCCAAAAATCTATGACATCTTACAGCACCATTTTTACAGAAAAATTCTGGCACTTTCATATCAAATAACAGAAATAACAGCAAAAACATTTATGTGAGGATACATACATGTACTTTAATTTGTAAATAATATTTCATGACCATCAGTAGCTTTCAGGAAAACGCTATACTTTTGAAAAAAAAACAAAAGAAGCAACTGTTGATTGTGAACATTGATTTGTGTTATTGTTCTACCTTAATTGTGTAATTATTCATTAGGTGTCATAGACTCATAGCCTGTTCAGTACAAAATATCAATATTTAAGCTTTTCATTTGAAATGATTGTGCTGTATATTTACAAAGTTTCTATTTATAAGCTTGTAATGGCAGAAGTCCATTTACACGTACTAGTCCTTGGTCGAATTAATCGTGTTTTATCCTTGACTTGTATAAATCAATTTGTGCTTTACAAATGATGAGTAAGAAGTTAGAATAAGGACATTACATAGTTTTATTTGATACAGGTTTTAGTGTACAGTCTGCACCAAAATCTTTTCCATCTACTAGTCTGAAGACCAATATTCCGACATTTTTCTTATCTGTCTACACTAAGTTTTGCAGATACTAACTAGTCTGGGGCATCAGCCTAGTGGCTAAGGGTGCAAACTGTGTATACCAGTAATCTTTGACAACATTCATACATAACTACATAACTAACTACATGTAACAATGAACAAAATATCTCATTAACTAATTAGTGCCTATAAATGAATTGAATAACCATTCATTTTAAAATAATCAAATAGATATTTTTCAACATCATTGTTACAGTTATTTCCCTTGACAGCTATGTTTGAGGGGAAACTGGTTGATTTTTCTAATATAACTAACCAAATTAAATCATGCCATACAAACAAATCTGAGGAGAGATTTTACCCAACTTATAGTTTATTTTATTCACCTTCTGCATGAAAAAAAAACTAGAGCTCTGAAGTGCCTGTGTTGCTCACCTAGGTCTATGTGCATATTCAACAATGGACTCTCTCCAACATTGTAGACAAGAATAAAATTCATGACAAAAATCTTTTTTTTGTTGATCTTGTATTGCTGATAATTTTGTCTATTTAGTTTCTCTTTATTTTCTTTAGTTTTAGCTCAAAACACAAAAGAGGGTAAAAAAAATCCTCATTAAAGAACAGTCACTCCTATGAAGAGTGACAGTCTACTTACTACATTTGGCAAAATTTGACTTGTTTGTGAATCTTGCCTTGCTGATCATTTTTGTTATTTAAAGTTTCTATTTATCTATTATAAATGCAAAGAATTGGTAAAAATTGTCATTAAAGGGCAATAACTCCAATAAGGAGTCGTCGTAAAATTTCATCCATACTGTCTTTAATTTAGATCTTGTCTTGCTGATCATTATTGATTATTTTAGTTTCTATCTATCTATTATAGTTTTTAAAATAATAGGCAAAAATGAAAAAAAAATGTAAAATTTGTCATTTAAGGGCAACAACTCCCATAAAAAGTCACCCGACAGTTTTGAGGTCAATAAACAATTATTGGTAGAGCTCAACCTTTTGAACATTTTTGCTTGTCAGATTTTTATAATGGTTTTCAAAATAATAGACAAAACTTGCATTTTACTTCTATTTTTTTTTTTAGCCATATCGGCCATCTTGGTTGGCAGGAGGGGTCATCGGACACATTTTTAAAACTAGATACTCCAATGATGATTGTGGCCAAGTTTGGTTAAATTTGGTCTTATAGTTTTAGAGGAGAAGATTTTTGTAAAAGTTAACAGATGATGGTGGAGGACGACGGAAGACGGACATCAAGTGACGAGAAAAGCTCACTTGGCCCTTTGGGGACAATAGGCCTGAAATCTATTTAAACTGCACACATTTGTCTAAACTCAGAGAAATTATTTAGGTGTAAACGCAGCTATTCTTTCCCCAACAAGGAACCTAAAAGATTTTGGACTGTAATGAGATAAATGAACACTAAGAGTCACATTAGCACTGTAAGGTCATGTTCACATTTAGCTTAACTTGCTGTGGTGTAAGTATACTCAACACTTAATCTAAACCGTATCACATTCCCATTGATAATCAAAGTGATCTGAAATCACTGATGGAAAGATTGGAAGAATTGTGTGTATAATTTTAATCATATTTTACTCTTCCATAGCAGTGGTGGTAGACAAGAAAAAGTTTCTATAGCACTATTGCATATTTGCAAGTTACATTACTGCAGATTTTTTAGAAAGATAAGCAATTCTACAGTGCATAATATAGCTTAATAGAAGTCAATGTAACGGTAGGTTGGTCACTAATTTGCATAATAACTTCTTTTAAATTGCAACTTAATATTTATATTTTTTAAAACAGAAGAAATTACCTAATAAAAAATAATTATTGTAGTCTCTCATTGGATAAAGAGACTTGAAACTTAAGCTCTTTTTTCATCTCCCGAAATTTACATTTATCATTTATTTAATTTTTGTTTAATGCAGTGTAAATCAAAAGTTATAAATATAGGTAGATGATTAAAATTTATCATCTGTATTCAATTTTATTAAAGAAATGCACATTTAATATTTATGTTAACCATCCATTACACATGAAGACAGAGACCACCTTATGACACTGACCTATATAGATCAAACATCTATCTGATACTAATGAGGTCAAGTTATTGTGTATTGAGTGGTCTGTCATGTTATGTATAAACTCAATAGTTATGTAATTTGGTCAATTTTGATTGGCATTGAAGAGGAGGGGTCTATATACAATTCCAATTAAAGAACCTTAGTGAGCGCGCTCACATACCCCACGTCCCCACATTGTCATTGGAGAAATAAAATATGTGTAAGAAAAAAAGATTGTATAAGAAAAAAAAATTGAATCATAATTTCCTGTCAATATGCACATCTACATAGTATGTCCTTATTATCTACAAAGTTTCATGAAATTATGTTGTGTGGTTTCAGAGGAGTTGCAATGGCAAACTGTTGCAGAAGTACATTGAAGCAAATAAGTTCAAAGGGGCGTAACTCCTAGAAAAAAAATTGAACCGTAATTTCCTGTCGATATGCACATCTACATAGTATGTCCTTATTATCTACAAAGTTTCATGAAATTCTGTTGTGTGGTATCAGAGGAGTTGCGATGACAAACTGTTGCAGTAGTACTTAGAAGCAAATAAGTTCAAAGGGGCGTAACTCCTAGAAAAAAAATGTAACCGTAATTTCCTGTCGATATGCACATCTACATAGTATGTCCTTATTATCTAAAAAGGTTTCATGAAATTCTGTTGTGTGGTATCAGAGGAGTTGCGATGACAAACTGTTGCAGTAGTACATTGAAGCAAATAAGTTCAAAGGGGCATAACTCCTAGAAAAAAAATTGAATCGTAATTTCCTGTCGATATGCACATCTACATAGTATGTCCTTATTATCTAAAAAGGTTTCATGAAATTCTGTTGTGTGGTATCAGAGGAGTTGCGATGACAAACTGTTGCAGTAGTACATTGAAGCAAATAAGTTCAAAGGGGCGTAACTCCTAGAAAAAAAATTGAACTGTAATTTCCTGTCGATATGCACATCTACATAGTATGTCCTTATTATCTAAAAAGCTTTCACG